CATTTGGTGTCTGACAAGGCAAGTAGTGAAAGGCTATGGAAACAAATGAAGGATGGGTCTCTAAGGACCTCCGCTGTGGTCGGAGCGCTGGGTGAGGGGGCTTTGTCTAGACCAGACCTCTTTTGTGAGTCCCCCGTGATCTCTATGTCCTGTCTGAATGGAGGAACTTGACCCTAGGACATGGCCTAGTGATAGAGACACTGAATCAACGGTTGCATTTATTTGTAAATATCAACTCAAACCCCGAAAATCACAATCTAAAGTATGTACGATTTTAGAGATGATTTAAAATTAGTCTCAGATTTATAGAAGAATGAGTTTCTGGAGTTTGTGAGATGTCATTTGTTCTTTGCATATTAATGTTTGCATCTCATGAATAGAATCAAATAGGTGTTAAATTCAGCGAGACAGCAATAGTCTGCAGTCTGGCTGATCCACGGTCATAAGCCCACTGGATAATGGACAGGGACACTCATGGATAAGTTTGGAGTGGCTTCAGTGAGAGAGGGTTTTAGGACCCAAGTATTATTTTGCACTGCAATTATACATGTATGAATGATAATTAAATTGAGATGATTTTCAATTCTCTGATGGGTTTTAAGGACAGTGAATTGAATCGTAATACAAGATTGGGCATTTTTACTCATACAAAGGCTAATTACCAAATGTCGCCAGCATGTATGATGTTTTTGGCAGAAATATGAGAGCAACTGATGAAGGTATTTTTTTTTACCGTGTCAATTAAATTGCTTTTGTATATATATTTTTTGTGTTCTAAAATTAATAGTACAGGCAAACAATAAAATCTAGTCATGCGTTCATGAGACAAGGAGCGATGTTCAATTGATCTCTTTTAGATATAATTGGCCTTAGAAATCAGTCATTAACAAATCAAAACCCTTCTAATATCGGAAAATCTTGATGCTTTTCCTGCTTTTAGTTCCTCTTCAAACAGAAATTATGATGAGGTTCAGTGTTTAGTTTTGTCTAAAGAGGTTTCCCTATACCCTATGTAACATATTTAAAAGGGCCAACTGAAATGATCTTTACAGGGTTAAAAAAAGACAACATAACTTGCCCTCTGTTTCTGCATTTCATAGTTTTGTTAGGACTCATAAAACAATAATGCTATGACTGTTGGTTCTGTATCAGTTAAAAAGCACTCCACTTGTTTAAACCACACTGCCTCAAGGCATGCTGGGAGAAGAAAGGGGCTCTCAGAGCAGTGGGACAACCAGATGAGATACAGATACTAATGTCAGACTCAGCTATATAGAGTCCAAACACATTAAAAACACTTGCCTGAGCCATTCACAGTAAATTCTGTATTTCTTATTTTTAATTGTGAGATGAATGTGAATATGTTAAGTTAAACTTTAGTCAGAAACATTGTTTCTATCATGTATTTCAAACTAATCCTTTCTCATACTTGTTAAAATCTATAATTGCATGCCTCTCTTCATTGCTGCTTATTTTCCAGAAGAAATTCAACTGTTGTTTACCATTGTCTGTTATGTCTTTGTGGTTTGTCACAGTCCTCATAAAGACAGTGATATTTCCTCAAAATATGACAGCAGTGAACTCGGCAAACCAGAAATAAATCACAGAATGCAAGGCTTCAGCTAGCCTGTTATTGACCAATATAAACATTTTACACACACCAAGTGTGGTTTTGTAGCAATAAGCAACCATGTGACTATCAGTGCAAACATGCAGAGTGGGGAAGGATTAACTGTCCTTGTGTCTGAGCTCAGGGGTCTTCTACATCTCCAGCATCTCCAAAACTATACCAGAGTCTGGATTACACTTTAGCGTCACATTAGCCAAATTCCGCGGACAAAAAAACAAAAACAAAACTCCATTGTGTATTGTCAATAGTGCAGCGATGTATGAAGAACTGTTCACACAGAACTTACTGTACGAATCCTCGCGCCCAACTTTAACCCGTTGCAAAATCAACGTGGGGAAAACTTTTGTCCACAAGCGAAGTTCCTGTCACGGTGATTGATTCCTTATTTTTAACGTAAGAGCGGGCGTGGCTTGCCACGTCAGCTGCTACCAGTTACTTCAGCTACAAAAAAAGAGTCTGTGATGCTGCTTGATGTTGTAAACTAGGCCTAGTATTTTTCTATTAACATAGGGTGACCATACGTGCCATTTTCCCAGAACGCATCCTGGCCAGTGTTGCCAACTGCTTTCAGTTGAATGTAGCTAAAACTGGTAGCTAAATGTCACTAGATGACATCACAATGGCAAATTCACTGGGCACTGACCAAAAAGAAACCACACACAATAGCCTACATAATCAAATTACTGTCATTTGGACTCGCTCATGAATTTCTGTGCAAACCTTTTGTAAAAACATTTTTATGTAGCCTAAATCATATTGTTGTAGCCTAACATTTCACAAGCGGTTTACACTGTGTCTGCTTGTGTTTATGAGTGAAACCCGTTTATGAGTGAAACCCTTGTTTATGAGTGAAAGTCTCGAGTTCAGACTTCATGGTGCCAGGCTAAAAAAAAAAACTAAAACCTGCTACAGTTTTAGTGTGGCCCAAAACTTGTTGTTCTCAGTTTGAAGCGAGAGACAGAAACCTCACAGGCCACTGGAACCCATCTGTGAAAATCAGTGCGGCATGTGTTCTGTCACAGGGGCCTCTTGCACAGGTAGATCTGTGCTTTGGAGGACATCACCCAGCATGCTTGGGAATTCTGACTGGCAGACAGACACTCTGGGAATATGTCACAGTTCTCTCTTTAAAAGTTCTCTTTGTGCTATTCAGCCCGACTCTGCGCGAGTAAATATATGCAAACGCACAGTACACACAAAGGTACAGTACACCTTGTGCTGTGGCATATGCTCGGCTTTTCAGATGTATCCCTCTATTTGTCTGTAGAGAAATCCAAAAGAAGCTCCCTTTACAATTCAGCTGGCTCTCATCTCCTTTAGCATGAAAGTGTGGAAAGTTTGGAAAGGACGTGTTTTGGTATCTCACCATCCGTGGGGAGTGCGTGGAGTATCACGCCTTGGAGGCTTTTCCCCTCCTTCCCGTTTCTCCCTTCTTTCCAATAAGAATAAGATAACACAAAGACCTGCTATCGGGAGATAAAGGTGAAATACTGCACAGTACTTTCCTCTTTCTTAAAGCAAGAAAAGAGAGAGAGAGAGCAAGTCCTGGAGTAATGGAGTTTTTAAAGTTAGATACCTCTCGTTGGCCTCACCAAGGTCACTTTCTTTGGCCTTAAAAGCACTCTCACGTTATTTTCTTTTCTCTAAATTTCAAATGTCAACAAAAAGTATATTGAGTTTCATTGTTTGCGTTAGATTTCGGATCATTCGTAAGTGATTCTAAAGCAAAGCTAGCGGGGCTTTTTGTGGTTCTGTGTGCTTACAGACAATTCAATTGTGCCGTGGAGTTAAGCGGCCGGTGCCATTGTTCTGGGAAGATCTACTCTAAAACTGTGTTTCATAACTGAAGATGGAACATCAGTCATCATAGATTCACAATGGACATCAGTCAGTCAATATGCCTAATCAGATTCTGCCTCTGCCCGTCATTTGTCATTCTTCATTATTTTCCATCTCTGCGTTATAGATTACGAGTCTGGGACCATTAATCTGAAGATTTGGACTGAAACAACTGAGATGGTGAATTCATGTGTTCGTCAGATGTCCGAGAGGGTGTCTGGAGCTACTGAATCAACTAAATGCTGCTCTCTGGAAGTAGAACAACTGCTGGAGGGTTTGTGTGTGATTTTAATAAGAGAGTCAGTTAAAAATGGTCAGAAAAATGAGGATTTCATGCGGGATTTATGTGAAAGACACCAGAGACATTCATTGGGTTTTTGTGTTTTATGACAACTAACCATAAACAAAATGATTTTTATACTGATTTTTTAACTTTTTTATGTCCTAACTCTAAACCAAACCCTTGCAGAAAATATTCTGCATGTTCACCTTTAAAAAAAAAAAGTATAAATAGGTTTTATATTGGGGGCCAGCATTTTGGCCCCACAATTAAAAAAAACACATCAGGTTTTACTATCCTTGTGGAGACTTTTGGTATATACCTGGACCACACATTACACATACACACATATTGTGTGGGGTCCAAAATTATGAGACCACTAGTGAAAATGCTATAGTTTTCATTTGCATAATTTAATACACACACTGTAAAAATTATTGTAATTTTAAGTGTTAAAAACCTGTAAAAACGCATTTCGATTTAGGTATGTTTTCCCATAATATTTCCTTTCCTCACTGTTGCTTTGGGTTGTTTGGTTTAGTCTTAAGAGCAAAACACCTTTTCTGCTCCAGATACAGGCAACACCTGGCCATAACAGTCACATGACACTGAGGTCAGAACGACACACAATGCCTGGCTTTGTGTTCAGGTGTTCTGGTAGTCTCCCATGTGATTAGCTCTTTGTGACACATGCAGAAAGAGCAGAATATATGAACTTTAATTTCCAGACCAAAGATGCTTTATTCGTGCATTTTGACCACTTCCTGATGCAATTCAGAGAAAACAGCAAACCAGCTTTTCTGGGACATTAAAACATGAAATTCGTCTTGCTCATTTTACCTTAGTCACATTATGTGGGACTAAACTGTTTCAAGAGAGCTACTTTGCATTATGCTTGTGAAATACTTGTGTAAAATGTGTATAAATCAAATCCAAGCAATGACATTGAGACTAGACATTATTGTTCTTTTATATTGTGTGCGTGAAATTTTTGAACAATGACAAGCCAGAGAAAACTTAAATCCGAGAATGGAAAGAAAGGATAATTGTACATTATAATCGTAGAAATATTGTAGAGGTGACATGTTCAGACTGAAGCAATAATTCCCTGTGTGGCAGTCCCTTAGTGTGGTACTGATTCAACCATGTCAACCCTCTCAATGGATCCGAGACTGATCATTTTAATACCCAGGATATTAAATATTTCATCACCCACAGTTCAGCAAATAAATCACAAGACCTGTTCCCTTTTTTAGAAAAATGCACAATTTATTGAATGAATAAAATCTACAAGAATGTTGAAAAGTTGGACCCTATAGCAATTTCATAAAAAAATAATGCACTCCACACAAGGTTCAAGGGTTATTCAAGCTACTTTGTATGTTGCACACAATGTGCTGTCAGACCACACCGCAACATTATGTCACAGTGGTCATCTTTCCATGTCGGCAAAGCTGAATGAAATGGGCAACTCATTGGGTTTGTGACCTCGCGTCTTCAGCTGCTGGACACTAATGAGGGTGGCATGTGCTGGAGAGAGCTCTCTCAACCTGCAGCAGAGAGAAGAACACTTTAGAACGGACAGTCATTTAGACCTACACGACACACAGAAATGTGACATTAAACATTATTAAACATGAGGAGCTTAAAGTTAAAATTGCATTCAGTTCTGTAAAAATGTGTCAAAAATGATTCAGTGTGTCAACTGTTTTAATGCAATATACAAAAAATTATGGTGTGTCTTACTCTGAGTTCATGTCATCAAAAGTTACTTTTCTCAATTACTACAATAATTTTGTTCAAGTGTACTATATATACAGCAACAACAGCAAATGTAGATGAAAGTTTTTTTGTAAATTATCTTTTTTTTTGTTTTGTTTTACAAGATTAATTTCATACTTTTTTTTGGCCATTTCTTAATTCAGTTTGACATTTGTCCTACAATTCAAGTCCATAAAACTTCTAGAAATCTGTGATTTCTAGGCAAGACTGTATAGTCACTGGTTGTGTTTAAAATCATGGTAAAACTTTAGCATAGGGATTCTCAGTATTAACTAGTTGCTTATTAGCATGCCTATTATTAACATATTGGATTTTTATTAGTACTTATAAAGCACATATTCTGCATGACCATATTCTACATCCCTAATCCTACCCAATACCTAAACTTAACAACTACCTTACTAACTATTAATAAGCAGCAAATTAGCAATTTGTTAATAGTGAGAATTGGACCTTAAAACAAAGTGTGACCAAATTAATTTTAAGTGTAACAAACTTTGTTACGGCTCATCTCATCAAAATTTAGCATCAGAACTATCCAGCAAATACAAGCTCTTCAAGTAAAAATCAAAAGTGGATTCTCAAAAAAAGTATTTTTTTCATAAAAGCTTTGTTATTCCTCTCTGGTCTGTAAGTGATTTGACACAAAGCACTAATTCTGACATTAAGCCCTCACAAATCCCTTGCTGCTCAGTTAGTCCAGCTCAAGCTACCATGATCATTTCATTTATCAAGAAACTGAAAAGAACCTCACTCTCTCTCTCTCTACGGCACAAGGGAAGAGTCCTCATAAGCATCACAAAGTTTTCCACACAGCTTGCCAGTTTTATTAAAAGTTGTCTAGCACTAGGAGGGATTCTGACATTCCCAATATTCCAGGCTGTCTGTCGGCCGGCTTACAATGCTTCTTTAATATAGATACACACTTAATCCAAGTGTACAGTTTGAGGAGAACAGATCAATGAGAAATAAAACATGGAGGATTGTAGCAAAATGAACTGTCTCTATTGCCCTGTCAGATCTTAAGTGCACATTCATAAGCTGAATTCTGAAATGGTTTGGCTCTAATAGACTCGGGATGGCCCTCTGACTGCTGTTCTCAAGATCTTTCTTCTGAAATGAAACCTCATCGCAGGCACTTCTTCACGTAGGTGCCATTGTTTTCCTCTTTTCTGTGCTTCAAATTCGCAATAAAAACAAAACAGCACAATGCACGCACAAGACGGAATGATGCTTTAAATTTCATTGCCTTTGAGATCTGACTCGCATCCTGAAACATCATCTTAGATGAAATGGACACTTCTCACTTCCACGACTCCTTCCACCGACCAGGAGTTTGACTTCTCAAACTTCTCCTTCCGATTCTTCGACAAAAGGAAACTAAACCCTGCCTCATTATGAAACGTGAATCACTTCGAGTCTAAACCATTATCACAGTACAGTACGTGACTGACAAAAAGATCACCAAGTTCTCAAAAAGCTTCATGTACTGTTCGCTAACAAAGAGGAAAACAATAATGGAGTGTCCGACACTTTCTTGTCTTCACCTTTGTTCCTCCTCATCCTCTCACATGGTTTTTGCTTACACATCTCCTTATAACCTGATAAGAGTGTGTTTTTTTTTATTGTTGTGAAGAACACAGTTCTGGGAGGGTCTGTGTTTCTGCCTCCCCTCATTATTTCTTGTTTGCTGTTGGGCAAGAGAATAACTTATCCGATTCCACTTACCCCCCTGTAGCTTTCTCCCTCTTTGGTTATTATAGTATTATATTTCTTAAAACCTTAGAAGGCGATAACAAGCATGAGATTGTACTCAGGAGAAGGCCTTTACGCTGGTAAATATACTGTTAGCCGTATCTTAGCTGTACGCTAACGTGTTTCCAGGCTTCCTTTGAAGTTTTACTGCAGGTAGGACACTGTGGACATCGCTTACGGTCATGTTGCCAGCACTTTCTTCAGTGGCTTGTTAGATTTGTCTCATCCAGCCATCTCCATTCTAAATCTCTTGTCCCAGAAAGTAAATAATTAAATACAAAAATCAAGACAACAACAAAAAGTACTTCAGCCCAGAGGAATAAATTAAAAGTGCTTGCTACATACAGCATGCTGCCTCAGGAGAAGCATGTTCCTTTGAAGTGTGGTCCAAGATCAGCACAGATATGTTTTCAGCATCAGTTTGCTTTTACTGACTCTGCAGAATTCATCACCCTATCTGTGTCAGATTCCTCTCAGACTGCACATTATTTCTCTGAAAAATGAAAGAGGTGCTTGAGCCACTCTTTCCCGAACTGAACCCTGTGACTCAATGCGGCACGCGCTAACCACTCTTGCTTGATGCGACCACACTGCTGTCCTGAATGAAAAGAGCAACACCATGTAAGAACTCACCTAGATTAAGTTAAATTAATGTGCACTAAATACTGATAACAGGGACAATAAGAAGTACATTTGCAGTTTGGGCCACTAAACCAGCTATTCAATCAAAGATGATACTCCAGTGAAAAGCAAAAAAAGTCTACCAGCCTAAAATAGTTTGCCAGTTTTATTTGGTCTCCCAATCTGGTATACTGGCTGGTTTTGGCTACTTTTTAGTCTAGGACAGGGCTTTTTTTTTCCATTTTAACCCCTCTGGCCTAAAATATTTACCGCCTGAGAAGCTTTAATATTAAAAAAAAAAATTTAACAACACATTTGCATGATCATAGTTCTCTGATGTTAGACAAATAAAATATTTAATATTTTTAGTAAGTGTTTTATTATTATTTTTTACCTGTAGATTTTAATTTATATTTTAATAATTTAATTAATTATTCGTTTTTCATTATCTCACAAACCTCTTACAGAGGAGAACTGGCTTCCTCACTAAGCCTGGTTTCCCTCAAGGTTTTTTTTTTGTCCATTTCTGTCACTGATTGAGTTTTGGTTCGTTTCTACTGTCACCTTTGGCTTGCTTAGGTGGGGGCACTTAAAGGATTATTCCACTCCAGAGTTAAAATTACCCAATAATTTACTCACCCCCATGTCATCCAAGATGGTCTTTCTTTCTTCATGCGAAAAGAAATTAAGGTTTTTGAGGAAAACATTCCAAGATTTTTTTTCTATATAGTGGACTTTATAGGTTACCAACGGGTTTAAGGTCAACATTGCAGTTTCAATGCAGCTTCAAAGGGCTCTACACGATTCCAGTCAAGGAATAAGGGTCTTGTCTAGCGAAATGATTGGTAATTTTCAAAAAAAAATAAATGAAATGTATATACTTTTTAACCACAAATGCTCATCTTGCACTAGCTCAACCTCACGCATTACGTAGTCACATTGGAAAGGTCACGCGTGATGTAGGCGGAAGTACCGACCCAGTGTTTACAAGTGTGGAGAAGGAGGACCATTCAAATAAAAAATTATGGTATGTTGAATGACATATATGTCTTTGTATCAGTTTATTATTTATTTAAAATGGTCAGTTCGTGTGCATATCCTGTATGTTTAAATCGCAAATTCGTGGAAGTGCATTTTTATTTATTTATTTCTTTTAGAAAATGGCCGATCGTTTTGCAAGATTAGACCCTTATTCCTCGGCTGGGATCGTGTAAAGCCCTTTGAAGCTGCATTAAAACTGCAATTTGGACCTTCAACCCGTTGGTCCCTGTTGATGTCCGCTATATGGAGAAAAATCCTGGAATGTTTTCCTCAAAAACCTTACTTTCTTTTTGACTAAGAAAGAAAAACATGAACATCTTGGATGACATGGGGGTGAGTAAATTCTCAGTAAATTTTCAATTTGGAGTATTGCAATTGCACAGTCACTATTGTAAGAGAACTGAACTGAGCTGGACGATGACATGAACTGACTTTAACAGAAATATTGACAATATTTACTAGGGATGCACTGATACTGGTATCGGTATCGGGCCCGATACTGGTCTCCTGTACTCGTACTTGATAAAATGCCCCGATACCAAACGCCGATACCACACAACATGTGTTAAGCGCCATATTCAAACAAAGAAACACTGACAACAGAACAACAGACAGCAGAAAGGAGATAAGGATGTCTACTACGAAGTATATGTATGCAATGAATATAATGTTAAACATTCAGTATTAATGCCTGTATAGCTGATGTGCGCGAGCTGATAAACAAAGCACGCTGAGTGGATTGAGCGCGCGGCGGCGCAGATGCGCGAGCTTGTCGAGTGAATATACCTTTCTCACAGACATCACTGGAAAGTTTGTAGTTCGGTCGGATATGTCAAAAACAAGTAAGTAAAACAATGCACAAGTTACTTAACGGTAGGGAGAGAGAG